CATCAAGCTGATGAATTGACAGGTGATTGTTAATATTGTATAATATTGTGATATATATTATATATCTTACAAGTTGATGTTTGTTCATATAATTGTTAATAATTTTATCACTTTGATCATCAATTTGCTGCTCCAGTCTATTGATGAAAAGAATAAATTGGTTTCTCTTTTTTTTGTTAATAATATAAAAAATATTGTAAACCTTAGTCACACTGATTCAAACAAGAAAAATATTCAATAATGCATACTCTAATTGAAAAATGTGAGGCCTTATATAAGCAATATCAGGAAACCATAATAAGAGGAGGAGCCATAATTTTCTAAAATAAAATAAAATCCATAAGTGGATAAGTCTAAATTCCACCACATAAGATAATAAAATAAACTAATAAATTTTACCTCTTATAATAAATTTTCTTACGTAGTATTCTAGATCTTATTGCCTAAATGATTTATTGGGGCTCATAGGGAGGATGTCCAATTAGAGAAATATTTAAGAAAATGACATCAAACTGATGTGGGGTCCTGGGGGATCAGCAAAAGAACTAGATCTGCTTGAAGGATTTCCCAATTCAGGAAACAAAGACACACAACAAGCTTCTAAAGCTTCAAAGATAATAATATTTCATTGATAATATTTCCTACTACAACATTCTATATATAAGCTAACATGAGAACATTCTAGAAACAGCTATAAAACTTGATCTACTATTCCTAATGAATACTATATCTAAAATGCATCGCATCATTCTCCTATTGCGTCAAAAAATCTCGACTCCGTCGAGTCTCGACGTCCGGAGAGAGATAGCGATCCTCCCAAGTTAATCAAGGCTTTGTTCCTCCTATAAAGATGAGAATTATTGTTTATTTTAGTAAAATTAACTCGCAAGATTTCTTCTTGAGCCTATTTTTTCACTTCCAGCATCTATGTTGCAGGAAACCATCCTTTATCTTGCTTACTCCATTAACAGCCTCAAAGTATCTAATGAGTTTAGATGAATTACGCCCAAGTGGGCCTACATATATCTACTCTCCACCACGTTTCATTAGGAAAAGCTCATCAAATGCTTCAAAAATATCAATGCTAGGTTGATGAAGTGTACAAACCAATGTTCTGCCAGTGTCAATTGTGTTCCTAACAGTTCTCATCATAATCGTTGCAGCACGAGCATGTAGTCCAAAGGTTGGTTCATCGATGGATATTAACAACAAGCTACACAACAATTGTTAGTTGCTTGCGTTGTCCAGAGGGAGATAGAGATCCTCCTGGGTCAAAAATTTTGTTCTCAATATTTATTGCAAATTTTTAATAAGGACTTGAAAGTCGTTTTACAGCTATCAGTTTTCCGTCTTCTAGCCCAACAAATTTGGGATCCCAACCTTAAGTGACATTTCGTCAAACATCTTGTGAGCGTTGCGTTTGATAAGCTTTGTCTGTGGACCGCACATCGATCATTTGCACACCTGTGAAATTCTTTAAAACGCCACCCTCAGCTTTGTGCCTCGGTAGCTGGTGGATGTCCAAGCTATTAGAGTTTCTTATTGTACCAAACACATCCCCAATATATTTTTCATATTCACCTAATAGAGCGTCAGTTGCAACACCGAGACTAGTAACAGCTTCTCTGCCTAATGAACTGCCAAGATCAATTGACTTTCATGTAACAACAACTGATAAGTGACCATGAAACTTTGAGTACTCATCCAATATCCAACTTAAGATTAACCCGGTGGAATCATTTTGCAGAGCTAGATGAATATTGTCAACTTGAGGTAATCTTTATAGCGTCTCATTTAAAGAAATAACATTAATGGAAGGCTGCCGTGATAGTGGAGATGCAGGAGATGTTGCCTTCCCGAGAGTATGCCCCTCCAACTTCTCTGATGATGTCCTGTAATTGTCCTAAAATTCTAAATCAATCTCAACAAAGAAATCATCAACACCCAACTGCCCTTAGTCATTACGTTGAGCAGCTTGTGAGCATGCGTTAGATCGGCTTTGTCTTGCCAAACACATCAATATCATTTGGGAGCTCTGTCTATGCGGGCGGTAATGGCAGATTGGCAGCCACGATCGGTTGAATGCATGGATCAGAAATGACATCATGCGGGTTAGGGAGTTCTTGCGGACGGAAGAGTTGAGCGACAGAAGGATTGGGGAAATATCCCCCACTCGGAGATGTGTCTATTGGAGCGGAATCATGCTGGAGTGGATCAAAATTGTGGGTTTGTTCTAGCGGAAGTTGTGAATCTGGAAAATAATCATCGATATGACCCATAAGCATAACCCCATTAGATCTTGAGAAGTAGCTATTCGAATTCCTGATCGCCCCTGATTGTGTGCGGACCGTAGGGGTAGGATCGGTGGCGAGACGTACAGGCTACGTTTCGCTTCGAGGGAAGCTCGTTCTCATGAAGCATGGGAGACGGGTATTGGATTATTTACAGGAGCGGGCTGGTCCGGTGGGAGCGTAGGAGGTTTGGCCAATCGGACGAGGTTGGTGTAACTGAGAGAATTTGTATCTGGGACGTCATCGGCATCCATCCTTCTTGAGCTGGAGTGGATCGGGCCGAGGACGGAATGCTCTGTAGTGGTGGGGAGCGGTAGCGGCCAGTTCGGGATTGCAATATGCGTAGTGGTTGGAATCAAAGTGCAGGTAGATGTTCGATGATAGTTTTATTGCAGACGTGCATATTTGTTCTATAGAATGATCGAAATCAAAAAATAAAGCATCCCTGCGGTCAGAGGATGCATTCACTTGAGCTACCCGAAGTGCTTCATGGCGTTGATGATTGTTAACTGCTCTTCTTTTTTGGCGCCGTTCTTCGCGAGGATAGTGAGGCGGTGGATCTTGCCATTGGAGTGGGAGTTGGAGCGGAGGACAGTCGTTTTCTTCTTCTTCGACCGTCCATCTCCTTCGGAGTCGATCGTCGTCGACCGTCAATTTTCTTTGGCTTTGATTGTCGTCGACAACCCACCTTCTTCTGTATTTCATCATTCTTCGCAAGCTCCTGGTTCTGATACCAACTGATGTGGAGGATCGGCGGAAGAATTGGATTTGCTTGAAGAAATTCCCAATCCCGGAAACAAAGACACACAACAAGCTTCTAAAACTTCAAAGATAATAATATTTCATTGATAATGTTTCCTACTACAACATTTCATATATATGTTAAGTGTGAAACCCAGCTGGCGGAAAAAAGAGAGCAGGTGGAAACAAGAAATGGAAAAGAAAGTATTCTCTTTTTATATTAATCTAAAGAGCCGTACAGAGCTTACATATATAGATATAAAAGAGATAAAATAAATCTAGGTATAGTATATCCTAAGTGATACTACCGGCATTACATATATATCCTAATAGGCTCCCTCAAATTAACAATTCATCTGATGAATTGTTAATTTGCGACGAAGATCAATAAATCGTGCTGATGGAAGCGGTTTGGTTAGTATATCGGCAAGCTGATCTGTGGTGTTGAGATGAATGACAGAGATTGCACCGGAGTCTAGGTGTTCCCGAATAAATAGAAAGTCTATCTCGATGTGTTTTGTTCTGGCGTGGAAGACTGGATTGTGTGCGAGAGCAATTGCAGACGTGTTATCGCAATGAATGATCGTAGAGCTATGTTGTGGATGTTGAAGTTCGGAGGCTAGGCGCCGGACCCAAAGGACATCTGAAGTTGCCGTGGCGAGTGAGCGGTATTCCGCTTTAGTAGATGAGCGGGCAACAGTTGCTTGTTTCTTCACAGACCAATTTATGAGTGTTGTACCAAGAAAGGAACAGTAACCGGAAATTGATTTTCGGTCAGTGGAGTCCGCCACCCAATCGGCGTCGACATATGTGCGAAGTTGAAGATCACCACGAGTAATAGGTAATCTGAACGAAGGGGTTCCTTTGATGTAGAGGAGAATTCTCTTAAGGGCATTGAAATGAAATGTCTTCGGTTCATGCATATTTTGGCACACATAGTTGGTGGCAAATGCGATGTCGGGGCAAGTGATGGTGAGATACTATAGCGAGCCAGCTAACTTGCGATACAGTTGTGGGTCGGTGTAAATGGTGTCCACGGTGGAGTTGTTATTGCGGGATGTTGGCAGCAGTGTGGGAGCGGATTTGCAATCAGTGAAGCTCAAAGTTTTGAGAAGATTCTCTATATAATGTTGTTGATGAAGGAAGTAGCCAGTTGTTGTGCGTTGAACTTGAATTCCAAGAAACAAAGAAACGTTGCCAAGTTCTTTGAGTTGGAACTAAGAATGGAGTTGAAGAATAAGGCATTGTATTGTGGTTTCGTCGTTTCCTGTAAGTAAAATATCATCCACATAGATGAGAAAATATAACTGAACTTGATTTTTATTAAAAATAAGAAGCGAAGAATCAAAATGACTGAACCTGAATCTGAAGTTCTGAAGAAAATCTATTACTTTTTGAAACCATTGCCTTGGCGCTTGCTTTAGTCCGTAGAGGGATTTATGAAGTTTGCGAACATATGTTGGATTTTGCGAATCGGCGAACCCGGGAGGTTGTCGCATGTATATATCTTCTCGGAGTTCCCCCTGAAGAAATGTGTTTGCTACGTCTAGTTGATGAATTTGTCAATTGTGATGGAGAGCGAGCATAAAGAGAAGCCGGATGGTGGGCATTTTGGCCACCGGGCTGAATGTTTCATGGTAGTTGTTGCCAAACTCCTGTGTGAATCCCTGAGCAACTAACCTGGCTTTATGTTTGTCTAGTTGACCTGTAGGTAACAATTTAGTTTTAAATAACCACTTGCATCCCAAAATTGGTTTATTTGTGGGTGGCGGAACTAGTGACTGAAGAATTAAAGAAAGCAGAGAAGAAGAACTCTGTTCAAGAAGACAGAGGTAGAAGAAGAAGAAGTTGATCTCATTAATTTGGGTTACAGGGTATATAAAGATAACAGACACATACGTGTCCTAATGCTATTGGATACAGTAAATATAAAGGCCGTTACATATGAGCTAATAGCCCCCCACAAACTTATGATCCCAACGTGATCATTAGTTTGTCCCTTAGCATTTTGAATCGAGCCATGGACAACGGTTTGGTGAGTATATCTGCAATTTGGTCGATTGTGCTTATAGGTTGTAGATGTATATTGTTGTTCTGAATATTGTCTCGAATAAATCTGTGGTCGATTTCAATGTGTTTTGTTCGAGCATGAAACACCGGGTTATGAGCAAGAGCAATGGCCGATGTATTGTCACAAAATAATTGAGTCGGCTCGGCAGAAGTGATCCCGAAATCTGAAATCAGCCGTTGGAGCCATAATATGTCTGCGGTAGCAGCAGCTAACGCTCTGTATTCCGATTCCGTCGACGAGCGTGAGACTGTTTTCTGCTTTTTCACGGTCCAGGATACCAGATTAGCTCCGAGAAAGGTACAGTATCCTGATGTGGACTTGCGTGTCAGCGGATCTCCAGCCCAGTCAGCGTCGGAGAAGGATCGAAGATGCAGGTTGGATTTTATGATAGGTAGGCCGAAGGAGATCGTTCCCTGTATGTATCTGAGAAGTCGCTTGAGCAGGTATGAGTGTTGAGTGCTCGGACTGTGCATATTTTGTGATAGAATGTTGACGGCGTATGCTATATCCGGACGCGTGATCGTGAGATATTGTAGAGCACCTGTAATGCGTCGATAGATATTTGGATCCGTCAGTTCCTGATCCTGCGTCAATTGCGATTGTAACTTAGTACATGAGGGATTAGCAAGAGATTTGCACGAGATAAGATTAGCTTGAGCTAGAATGGATTGAGCGTATGATTTTTGAGATAAGAAATACTTAGCTGGTTCCGAGGATATAGTTATCCCCATAAAATGTTTTGCTTGTCCCAGATATTTCATGTGGAACTGATCATTGAGTTTGGTGATAAGTTCAGCAATGGTTTGTTCGCTTGAACCTGTGATTAAAATGTAGTCGACGTAGACTAGAAGAAAAATGCGATTGCTGTTCTGAGTGAATGTGAGCAGGGATGGGTCGACTTTACTGTGCTGAAATCCAATGCGTAGTAGATGCTCGGTAAATGTGGTATGCCATTGCCTGGGTGCTTGTTTAAGCCCGTAAATGGCTTTGCGAAGTTTACAGATATGAGTTGGATGCATTGAGTCTTCGAATCCGATGGGTTGCCGCATGTACACCGTTTCCTTGAGCGTGTCATGAAGAAAGGCATTTGCAACATCAAGTTACTGTACCTTCCATCCGAAGTGAAGAGCCACAGCGAACATGATGCGAATTGTTGGAAGCTTAGCTACTGGACTGAAGGTTTCATCGTAGTCCAGGCCGAGCTCTTGTCTGTTTCCCTGCGCAACCAGCCGGGCTTTAAATCTAGCTATGGAGCCGTCGGAGTTGTATTTCTTTCGAAAAGTCCATTTACAACTGAGTATCGAAGCTTTTGCCGGTTGCGGAATTAGTTCCCATGTGCCCTGTTGTTGTAGAGCTAAAAATTCGTCAGCCATGGCTTTGCGCCACTCATGATGTTTGTTTGCTTCAGCGAAAGTAGTGGGATCTGAACTGATTTCAGATGCAGCGGTAGAGTGCAGAAGGTTCAGTTTGGATGTTGGTTTGAGTGAGCCGGTTTGAAACCGCGTGATCATAGGGTGGCGTTGTTGAGGAGCTGGAAGTTGAGATATGTTCTCAGTTGGTAGGTAGCTTGAAGTAATGTTACGGGTGGCAGAGTGGGACTGAGAATTATGATTGGGTGAGAGAGATGGCTGTGGTTGTGTAGTGCTGGGACGAGAAGCATATTGTTGTTGCACTGTTGATGCTGGTATGAGAATAGACGGTGGTATTTCCTGTTCAGAACATAATGGTGAAGCATGAGTTTGTGCAAATGGAAAGGAATTTTCAATAAATTTAACATTGCGAGATATAATAATCCGATTTGTATCTCTGTGTAGGCATTTGTATCCTTTTTGATGTTGTGCATATCCAATGAATATACATGAGGCAGCTGTCGGCTGCAGTTTATTTCTGGACTGCGGTGGTAGCAGTGGAAAGCACTCACACCCAAATGTCCTGAAATGAGAATATTCATGATTAATATTAAACATGAGTTTTAGAGGAGCAATGTTATTCGTATTAGGAGTAGGAAGGCGATTAATGAGATAGACTGCAGTAGATGCAGCATCTGTCCAAAATTCGAGAGGTAAGGATGCCGTCTGGATAAGTGTTCTTGCGGTTTCCATTATATGTCGATGTTTGCGTTCTGCTACACCGTTTTGCTCCGGTGTGTATGGACATGATGTTTGATGAAGTATGCCTTGGGATTGCAGGAAAGCTCTAAACGTGTGGTTTATGAATTCCCCGCCTCCATCTATTCTAAGTGCTTTTATTTTTCGATCTGTTTGCCGTTCTATAAAAGTGATAAAGTCAATAAAAGTTCGAGTTGCATCAGATTTATATACTAAAGGAAATAACCAACAGAATCTAGAAAAATCATCCACACAAAGTAAGTAGTAGCGAAAAGCATTGTGTGAGGAGACCGGAGAGGGTCCCCATACATCAGAATGAATGAGATCTAGCGGTTTCATTGTTCTGTGTATAGATTTCTCGAAAGGGAGCTTATGACTCTTACAGACATTACAATGAACGCAAGAATTAAAGAATTTTGGTATATGAAGTAAAGGATTGATAGAAGCAATAGTTTGAATAATCCGAAGATGAGGATGGCCTAAACGTTGATGCCAGTTGATGCCTTCCCGTTGAGTAGCAGTCATAGCCGAGTGTTGAACTGGATCATTCCTAATTGTGAGCGGGTACAGGCCATTCTTACATGGTCCTTGAAGAATGATTTTGTTTGACTGTAAATCCTTAAACACATAATCGTTAGGAGAAAATGTAATAGAAATTTGATTCGTAGACACCAAATTCGAAATAGAAATCAAGTTGTGAGAGATTTCTGGAGTATGAATTAAATTGGTTAGAAATAACTTACGATCGGGGGTGGGAAGAATACCAGACCCGGAATGAGCTATTGGTATTGTTCTGCCGTCCCCCACGATAACATGATCAGAGCCGTTGTATGTCGTCGCTTGATCAAGATTCTCAAATCGGTTTGTCATATGGGTAGACGCGCCTGAATCCATATACCAATCAGTGGACGAGGTGTCAGCTGTAGCAAGCATAGCGGTGGGGTTCTCAGATGAAGGTTTCGGAGTTATGTAATTTGCATTGTGACGATGCCAGCAAATGTCCGCTGTATGGCCACGTTTAGTGCAAATCTGACATTGTAGCAACGTTCTTGCCGTGTTCTTGGTTGTTCCAGTTGATGACTGGATGTTTTTACCTCGACCGCGACCACGGTTGTTTCGAGCCCTGTTTGTGTATAGCGCCGTAGTAGCGTCGGAGTTGATAGCCAGACGATGAAGATCTGCCTGAACGTGAATTTCTTCACTGATCAAGAGAGCATAGAGAGTCTCTAGAGTCATGCTGGATTGCATTGTACGAACGGTAGTTTTGAATGATTGATATGCCGGTGAGAGTCCGTTGAGGATATGGAGTATAATATCCTCTGTATCAATGGTAGCTCCCGCCGACGCGATGTTGTCTACCAATTTCTTGATTTCGGATAGGTAGTTCTGCATCGAAAGATTTTTCATGGAGATGTTGTGTAACTCATTCTTTAGTTGAATTACCTTCGATCTGCAGGAAGATTGGAATCTTGTTTGTAGCGCAAGCCAGATTTCATGTGAAGTTTCAAGATGCATGACGTATGGTAGAACAGGCGCAGAAATAGTTGAACAGAGAGCCGCCGCGAGGTTCTGGTCGGTAATGATCCAGTTATTTGATTCATCGACTTCATGATCGGAGAGTGTTTGCGATTCTGTATGAGCCGCTGGTGGATCAAGAAACTTTGCAAAATCATTCGCCTTAAAAACTTTGAGAATTTGCGTTCTCCAGATCGAATATGTATCCGATGTCAGTTGATGAGGTACCAAAGTCTTTAGATTCGAAACTACAAATTTGAGTGACGGGTAGATCGGAGAGGTGTCGTTGGACACAGCGCTGCTTCCGGCGACCGCGGATGATGTTTCTGCCGGTGTCGCCATGATGCGGAGAATGCCGAGGTGTTACCTGGTCGCTGATACCATGAAGAATTAAAGAAAGCAGAGAAGAAGAACTCTGCTCAAGAAGACAGAGGTAGAAGAAGAAGAAGTTGATCTCATTAATTTGGGTTACAGGGTATATAAAGATAACAGCCACATACATGTCTTAATGCTATTGGATACAGTAAATATAAAGGCCGTTACATATGAGCTAATAGTGACCAAGTGCCTTGCCATTGTAAGGCAAGGAATTCGTTTGACATAGCCAAACGCCAGTGAGGTTGCTTAACAGCTTGATTATAAGACGTTGGAGTGTCCGGTACCGCAGGGATAGTCATGAGGTCATAGAACTGTTTTGGTTTAGATATGCCAAATTTCAATCGTGTCTGCATGTGGTGCGAGGGTTGGATGGGAATGAGACTAGAATTCGCATTAGAAGAATCACAGGATCGATCTGGAGAAGTTTGAGACATTGTGGTGAACTCACGTGGCGTAACAGAATGAGAGCTAGATGAGATGGTGGGTGGCGGAGAACTTTTGGATGGTTGAGTAGTGATAGCATATGAGGGAATTAAGAGATGTGGAGGAGAAGACAAGGCAGACGTACTAGTTTGTGTAATGAGATTTTTGAACGGGAATTGTTGCTCATAGAAGATGACGTGACGAGAAATGTAGACTTTGTTGGTGTTCAAGTCTAAGCATCGGTATCTTTTGTGGGACGACGAGTATCCGATAAAAATGCATTCAGTAGATCGTTGAGCTAATTTTTGAGGGGATTGCGGACAAAGCCACGGGAAGCAAAGGCATCCAAAAGTACGGAGATGTGAATAAGTGGGAATGTGTCCAAACAGTTTTTGATGCGGTGAGTGAAGAGATAAGGCTTTGGTCGGAAGCCGATTTATCAGATAATTTGTCGTAGTAAGAGATTCAGCCCAAAAGGAATTCGGAAGATTGGAAGCATGTAAAAGAGTTCGCGTGAGTTCAAGAAGATGGCGGTGCTTTCTTTTGGCGAGGCCGTTCTGTTCAGGCGTGTGCGGACAGCTAATTTGATGATTAATCCCATTAGCAGTTAGAAATTCTTTAAAATCATTATTAATATATTCTCCGCCGCCATCCGATCTAAGAGTTTTGAAAGTGGTTTGAAATTGAGTTTTTATTAGAGCAAAAAGATGCTTGAATTTAGATAGTGTTTCGTTCTTGGAATGTAAAAAATAAATCCATGAATAGCGTGTGTAGTCGTCAATAAAGACCACATAATACTTAAATCCAAGAAACGATTGCTAAGGGGCAGGGCCCCAAACATCAGAATGAATCAGTTCAAAAGGTTTAGAAGAACCAGTCATGCTTTTATTAAACTTTTGCTTGTAGCTCTTTGCCACATTACAAGAAATGCAAGCAAGAGAGGGAGACGAGGTACAGATATTATGAATATATTTTGATAAAATGGGAAGCAGTCCATGGTGAAGGTGTCCAAGACGAGCGTGCCAGAGAGTGTTGGATGACGTGGAGGCTTGAAGAGCGGTGGAAGCGTTCGGTTGTGTGGTGCAGATACGGTATAACCCGTTATGTTGAGGACCATGCAGAAGAATGCGTTTGTCCGTGCGATCCTGAATAAGATGGATTTCAAGGTAATTTTTTAATTGAAAAATTTTGGAATTGAAATTATGACCATCTAGATCACTTTAAATGTTATGAACTGATCAGTACAAAGCAGCATTTCACCAGTACAAAGCAGTATATTATTTTGATCAAAATGAATTTAAAAGCTCTTTAATTTTTATTGAGATTTGTGTAATTTAAGAATTAGTTGACTATCGAAGTATTGTAATCTCCAAGAAAATAAAAAATTTTAAAGCTCATCCTCATCAAATTTTGATCATGCATTTAAGAAATCAGAATATGCTATCCTTATCAAATTTTGATCGTGATTGATTTTAAAACTCTAGTATTTACTTCAAGATCAACTCAATAAAATAGTTGATTGATTATTCATACATTGGCCCCTTTAGCAATAAATCCAGTCTTTTATTTTCATGGATATCTTCTTTGTTGATATCTTGCCTCTTTAGCTTGTATCTGTAACAACT